TTCGGAAAGCGCGAAGGTCAGGGATCCGCCGTATCTCTGGGGGCAACTCGTTCCAGAGGGTAGGTGCCCCCACAGAGAATACTCTCCCCCTGGGGGCTGCCAACCAGCATTGTCTGGCCGACGGCACCCTGAGGAGGCCCTCTCTGTGGGAGCGTACTGGTCAGTGGGAGGCTACCGGTGGCAGAAGATGGTCTTGTAAGTACCTGGGTCCTAAGCCAGAAGACAGTCTTGTAAGTGTTAAGATGGCTGCCAATAAATTGGAGGGAGGAAGGAAGGAAGGGAGGGAGGGAGGGAGGGAGAGATGGGGGAGAGAGAGGGAGAGGGAGAAAGAGAGAGAGAGATAAGGTGGAGAAGCCTCAGGTCATTTCCTATGATTTTATGAAACCTTGGAGGTGCACCTTCTTGTTAGCTGTCCCAGGCCTATGGAAAAACCTCCCACAGGAGATTCATGAATCCATGAAGGCTAATGCTTTAGCCTTCTGGAAGGTTCAGAACTCCAGAACTGGACCAGGATGGAAGTTGAGCCAGGGATCAATAGCATGGTTGGCCTGGTGCAGTGGTGGGTTGCTCCCGATTCGGTCTGGTTCTTGCGAACCAGTAGTAACGGCGGCAGAAGGTTCCACCCACCCACCTGGACATCATCATGAATGATCTGCACATGTGCAGAAGTGCGCGCACTCCCATTGCGAACCGGTAGCGGAGGTAACTAGAACCCATCCCTGGCCTGGTGGAAAGATTTTGTTCTCTTTTTATTTTGTTCTTTTTATTAAAAAGAGCTGCCTAGGGCTTGTGAGCTGCCTTGAATCACGGGTGAGCAAGGCAAACAGACCAGTTCTTTAAATAAAATAAATAAATAAATGAAAATAGCAGTGCCTAGGGAGTGTGTTTGGAAAAAAAGAATAATATGTTGTATTACACTAAATTCACTAATCCTATCCCTGAAGGTTTTGTGCCGAAAGGGACATGCCTATGGTGGGAAGGCTGGAATACTAAGTCAGTGAACTAGGAGTTTCTCAACCATTATAATCTATAAAGCATAGTTAAATATTACATCTGAACAGGGCAGTTATGACTTGTTTATAATTAAAATAAATGGGTAGAGAAGATTTTCCTCTCCCAGCCTGCTCATCATCTTGATTTTTAGCGTCTCTATTTAAACCTTCTAATTTTAATTGTATTGTAGTACTTCCCCCCTTTTTAGCATATTGTAAGCCACCCAGAGTCCTTGTATCATACATAAATAAATATAGGGTCAAGAATAAACTGAATTATTATGGTTTAAACACAACGCCAAATGAAGTTGAACAATGTTTAAAGAACAAAAAGGCAATATATACATCAGTATGTGACTGTGAGAGAATGAAAGATTACTTCAAAGACAAAAGAGAAATATCGGCATATATTAGCTTTAGTTATATATATATTTTAATCTCGTATCTTTTAATTTTGGGGTTAATATTTTTTTTACTCCTTTTCTTCCCTTTATACTTGATCCAAAAGAGAATTTTGTGATAGATATGTGTCAGGGATGGGTTCTAATTTTTTTTACTACTGGATCTGTGGGCGTGGCTTATTTTGTGGGTGTGGCTTGGTGGGGGGTAATGTGACTGGGTGGACGTGGCCAATTTTATTTTTTTTACTTTTAAAAGCATTTTTTCTACAACCTTAAGAGGTTGCAGAGGCTTCTAAAATGCTTTTAGAAGCCTCTGACGATCAGGCAACTCAGTTGGGATCACCAGAGGCTTTTTAAGGCGAAGAGATTGCAGAAAAAAATGCTTTTAGAAGCCTCTGACGATCCCAGCTGAGCCGCACGATCATCAGAGGCTTTTTTTTTTTTTACTTTTAAAAGCATTTTTTTGGCTGAAGAGGTTGTAGAAAAAATGCTTTTAAAAGTAAAAAAAAAAGCTTCTGATGAGGTGGGTGGGGTAAACGAGCGGTGACCGGGCCAGGGACCGGTTCGGGGCATGGCCAGCCAATGTTATTACCGGTGCGAACCGGTGCGAACTGGGAGCTACCCACCACTGATATGTGTGTACTGTGTACATGCATGTACATATACACCAGTTACATTAATATCTGAAGGCAGACACTGCTGGTCTAGTCTAAAATACCAAACAGAAGTTGTTTGGTATTTTAGCCTGTACAAACAAATAGTTTGCAAAATGGACTGCTAAGACATTACTACTTAAAAGCATTGCTTCCCCGCAATGTTTACATGGGAGGTTTTAAAAGAGTGTAAACTTTCTCTAAGAACTTGCCTGGTGTTTATTTTGGGATCTCACACTATACAGATAATTATGGTCTATATCACATTCTATTACATTGTGGCGGTGGGCAAGATAATTACAGCGGTGGTGAGAGAAAGCAGCATGTGCTTCTTCCCAAAACTCAGATATTTATTAGTGCATATCTGCAATAATAGGAAGATGAATTGAGATAAAATAGAGCCAGGTTTCCTTTCCCTGAGCTAGAAGTTTCTCTGCCAGCTGTCAAGTACTGAAGAAATCTGTACTTTGTCCCCCAACTTTTGCTGTCAGTAATTTTCTCTTCCAGTCTTTGTTTTCCGGGGGCATCTTTCAATGGGATCATGAACCCATTTTGAACCTCCGGCTGCCAGACTATCTTTACTTGCTCCTCTCTTTTTGTGGGAAAGAGACCTAGTTTCACTCTGGCATTTTTCACAAAGATAGATTTGGGGAGGGTCCAAGAAAGTTGTATAGATAGTCCCCAACTTACAACCACAATTGAGCCCAAATTTTTTGTTGCAAAGCAAGGCAGCTGTTAGGAGAATGGTGCCTCATTTTGTGCCAGAGTTGTTAAGTGAATCACTGCCATTGTTACGTGAATCATGAGGTTGTTAAATGAATCTGGCTCCCCCCATTGACTTTGCTTGTCGAAAGCCAATTGGCAAGGTTACAAATGGTGATCACGTAATCCCGGGACAATGCAACTGGCATAAATACATTCTTCTTCTTCTTATGCCATATCCATCATTGGACATTGGGGAAAAATAGGTGATTATTTTGGTTGATTCAGAAGTTAGACATATACTTTTTTCCTAGCAGTAATTTATAGCTGTGAGATTTGGACCATAAGGAAAACCGAGCACCGAAGAACTAATTGTGGTGTTGGAGAAGACTGCAAAGAGACCATATCAGTCAATCCTAAAGGAAATCAACCGTGACTGTTCTTTGGAAGGACAGATACTGAAGTTGAAGCTCAAATATTTTAGCTACCTAAGGAGAAGAGCAGGCTCATTGGAAAGGACCCTGATGTTGGGAAAGATTGAAGGCAAAAGGAGAAGGGGAAGGCAGATGATGAGATGGTTAGATAGTGTCATTAACGCAATGAACATGAATTGGGCAAACTTCAGGAGGAGTGGAGGATGAGATGGTGGTGGTGGTATGTGTGGTCCATGCATCATGAAGAGGTCGGACATCACTTAGCGACTGAACAACAACACTTCTTTTCTTTTTAAGGAATGATTATGGCCACATCCAGCTCTCCAAAATGCTGGAAGTGAAATCAGCAAGAATTTTTGTAGTGAAGCAATCCAGTGATTCAGATAGTTTAACACCTGTCGTTGCTGAATATTTTTATTGTGTTCTCCACATTAATTTGGGGAAATAAGGGGAGTTTCTTGTTTGTTTGGGGATTTTTTGGCATGAAAATTAGATCACAGTGTTCCACCAGGTATATTACTACTGCTGTTATGCTGCTACTATTATCACTGGAAAGGAAGTAACCTAATTCTGGAAGCATCTGCCTTTGACTGTGACATAGAGAAATCATTAAAGTTGAATTAAACTATAAATCCCATATGGTGATGAGGAATATTTTACATTGTACTTGACATATTTTTCTAGTGAGTAATATTCCCTAACTTATTATGTTAAAACAAGAACAGTTGATAATAGTCACTAACACAAGGAGAAGAGCCTTGGTGGTACAGCAGACTAAAGTGCTGTTAAGTAGCACCAGCTGCCTGCAATTACTGCAAATTCAAATCTCACCAGGCTCAAGGTTGACTCAGCCTTCCATCCTTTCGAGGTAGGTAAAATGAGGACCCGGATCGTGTGGGCAATAAGCTGACTTTGTATAAAAAAGAACACCGCTTAGGGGGGGGCTGAAAGCCCTACTAAGCAGGTATATATAAAAGTATGAAGGCTATTGCTTAACGCATTGTAAGCCGCCCTGAGTCTCCGGAGAAGGGCAGCATATAAATTGAACCAATAAATAAACACATAGCTCATTATTGGCCAGATTTGCATTATCCCTTTCCTCCGAGTCATTCAATGCAGCATACATTACTACCACATCTTATTTTTGCAACAAGTTTGTAAATCCTGGGATAAGCATACTGACATTAAGTGGAGCCAGCTTCAATTTGTCACAAGAAAACTAAGTTGATCTCTTTCTTTGACGGAGTTACTAAATTCAGAGGAATATCATAACATGGTTTCTTAGACCTCAGAAAATCTTTGATGGTACCTCAGAATATTTTTCATGATTTATGGTAAAATAAGATAATGCTACTGTTAGCCTGATTCATGGTTGGTTGGATGAAAGACTGCTTATTAATGGAATGCTATCTGGTTTTGTCCTGGATCCTGTGCTGTTCAATATTTTCATTTATGACTTGAATTGAGCTTTTGAGGAGACCCTCATCAAGTTTGCGGATGACTCAAAATTGGAAGGGACAACGGTGAAAAGCAAATGCTACATTTGGGTATGTTAACAGGAACATACAGTCCAGATCACAGCAAGTAATTGTCTCATTGTATTCTACCCTGGTCAGAACACATTTGGAATATTATGTCCAATTCTGAGCACCAATATTTTAAAAAAAGGACAGTAACAAATTAGGAGCAATGGAAAAAAAATACTCTATGAACTCCTTGGTGCCCTCTGAGCTTGGTCATTTGTTTGCATATGTTTCATTGCCTGATTAGGTAATAATGCTGCCAAGTATGGGGTTTGCTCCCTATTATTTATTATACAGTAGCTTGCCCTGCCAGTGTGGAGTGAGGGTATGATTTTCTATAATCAAGTCCCTTGATTAGAACATTGTTTTCTGCTTGATTATTTGCCTAACGTTAAGCCTTGCTTATCTGGGTGTTGATTGCTGGAGAAGATATGTTCTGGGTCTTTTTGCTTCTTTCTTAGCATTTTTACTGTTTCTTTTTATGGTTTATAAATATGATTTATATCTATGTGTCTATTGATAGCTGATTTGTCTGAATGCCAAGTGTCCAAGAATTCCCTAGCATTTAGGGGTGGGGGGTAGGGGGAGGAATTTGATGTTGTGGTTTTAAGGAGTTTTCATTGTGTCTTCAGATTGCTAGTTGGTGTTCATGGAGGGGCCAGTCTTCTGCCTGACTGTTCTATACAATGGCTGAAAAAGTCCTTATGACTGTTGTAGAGGAGGAGGAACATCCATACTATTAGAGCTGTCAACCAGTGGAACCTGTTGTTGTCTTGGTCTGTTTTCCTTTATTAGAGGTTTTTAAACAGAAGCTAGATAGTCATCTTTTAAGAGATACCATGTTTCTCAGAAAATAAGACTGAGTCTTATTTTCTTTTAGACTTGAAAATAAGAACTTGGGCTTATTTTTGGGGCGGTCTTACTTTTTTTGAGGTGCAGCAGGCCAGACTTGGTGAGCTGGATGCATCGTGGACACACTGTCGCCTCCATTCCGAACCTTCAGTGTTCGGAATGGAGGCTTTTTGGTGAACGGGAGGAAAATGGGGAGGGGGATTTTCCTGCCTGTCATCCTTCCCTCAGTCTATGCTGAGCTTGAGGAATGGATGACAGACATGATGACAGGCAGGAAACCCCCTTCCCCATTTTTTTCCCATTTGCCAAAAAGCCTCTCGCGAGCCTCCCAAAAAGAGGGAAATAGCAAAGCAGCTGGCAGCAGAGCTACCGGCTTCAGGGAAGCAGCCCAACAAGCAGAAGCTCTGCGCCCAGAAAGAGAAGGGCAAAAGCAGTATTTGCGCTGTCCCAAGGGGCCAGTGGGCTGCAGCTGCAGCTGGACGCCACCACTCGTGCTGGCCACACCCATCCCGCCAGACTTATTTTTGAGGCAGGGGTAATATTAGCCCCCCCCAAAATTAGAGTTGGGCTTATTATTGGGGTGGGTCGTGTTTTCAGAGAAACACGATACTTTAGTGGATTCTGCACTAAACAGATGGTTGGATTAGATGACCTCTACATTCTATGATTCCAAGGTCAGTCAGGATTACATTGAAGTTATATAACTGAGATCTAAAAGTAGAACGTTATCTAATTCTCAGCCTCTCTTCACTGGAGATCTCCATTAACTATGAATCAATTTATAATTCCTTTTATGAACTTTCCAAATCATGGATCTCTTTATGATCTCTTCTAGCCTCAAGGGGAAGGGGAAATTCAGACATCAGATACTTTGTCTGAAATAGTGCTTCCTCTGATGACAGTTCTCTATAAAGCATTTTTATAAGATACTGTAAAACTGCTTGGGTTTGTTGTAAATGCCATCCTATATTTTATCCATCTCCAGAGACAAATTGTTCTATCCAGTAAATGCTTGCACCATGCAGTGCATTTTGGAAAGTTGCAAGTGTAGCCTACCATCGCTATTTCAGTTCCCAATTTAACTTGGTAGAAATGTTGGGTTGCAATTATGGATTAGGCCACACAATTTATCCATATAGTTATTGCTGAACCTGCAAACTGATCAGTTGCCCAGAAAATGTTTTCCTTCTAACACAAGTGTCTGTATCAACATGGAGGTGAATCTGTTGGTGAATTTAGCCCCTGTTCCACCTGCATGATTACTCTTAAAACATCTTTCCAGCATAAGGAATAATTCAGCATTCAGAATTATTAAATTTGTAAGGATTTAATATCTTGACTTAAAAAAAGGAGTCAAGATGGGAATCTATAAAGCTTGATTTAAGCTCTGCCTTTTGTGTGGATTTGTGTGGATTAAGCGGTAGCTGGCATCTTGACTTTTTGTATGACCCTGATGATATTAAAAAGTCTTCTCCTACAATCCATGTTCACTGTATTTTCAGTAGCCAAAGTTATGCAAAATTCTGTGGTTACAATTATTTCCGTGCTTTCATAATTTAGTAATGGTGAAGGTGTTAATTGAGGTTAATGGCATGCCCTGCAAATAATTAGCAGCTATATTTGGGGTTTCTGGCTATATTTGGAGTTCTGCTTGAACATTACATGTTGGTTTTCCTTACAGGAGTACCTATAGTTTAAACCTTTTCCAAGGGAGAAGAAGGAGAAGAAGAAGGGGAAGGAGAAGGTATGTACAATTAGAACCTCACATATTTGTAATTGCAGTAGCATAGTTAGTACTTAAGGCACCGTCAAGTTGTGGATGACAAGTCCTGGCAGTGAGAGTAAAATACCAGAGTAATATGTCAGACATATTATCTATATTTTAAATGTTTTCCAAGGGAGAAGGAGAAGGAGAAAGAGAGGAAGAAGAAAAAGAGGGAGGAGGAAGAGGGAGAGGAGAAACAGGAGCAGGAGGAGAAAGAGAAGGAGGAAAAGGAGGAGAGATTCTGTCAATGGGATAGTTTTTTAGCCATGCTTCATGGCCTACAGGGATACTGTTCTCCTGGTTTCAAGGGCATCATCTTTAATTATTGGCAAATGTCTGCCTTAAAAAGAAAGCAGGATGAGACGCATTAATGTCATCATGTAATCCAGGATTACATATCCCCATCTGAAAGGCTCAATTAGAAATACACTATAGCATAACGTTAGGGGTACCTCCTTGGAGCATTGCCACAGTTCCATTTTGACTCAGGATTTAGACTAATGGAAAAAAATTTTCCCCCAGGATTAAAATGAAAACAGGGAAGAAAGGTCAGAAGGAAAAAAAAAACCCCACAGGCATTCATAATTGCTTAAAACTTCATCAAGTTTTGTTCTCTACGCACTTTTTAAAGTTACAGATGTGTACCTTCCCTTTGACAATCTTTCCTTGATATGATTGAAGGTAAATATTAGCACTCAGACTTTGAAACGGAAATTAATCCCAATCTTTCAAACAAAAGCTGCCCCTACTTTTAGTAAGAAAGATGACAATCTTGGAAATGGAAAATTAGACTATTCATACTGCATGTGATTAAGGCTCAAGTTTTAATTGGACTAATGGAACGATTTGCTTAACAAGAAAGCGGCTATTTTAACTGCTGATGCTAATGTTGTTCATAGCTAGAGTTTTGAATTGTCATTTTCCTCTTTATTTTTTAATAATAATAACAACAATAAAAATCATACACTTAATGACCAATTTGAAATTATGATGGGCTGAGAACATCCCCTGGCACGGCCACCCCTGTGGTCAGGTGACTGAATTTCACCAGTTACCTGGCAACTGGTTTGCCTTTACAGCAACTTACAATGTCCCATGGTCTCGTGACCACAATTTGTGATTTATTTATTTTTTTTGGCAGTTTCTGGCAAAAACCGCTCATTCAGAAGAATGTGTTCGGGCTTACGACTGTGGTGCTTGCTTAATAACTGCAGATTCACTTAACTATCAAAATGATTTGCTTAACCACCTCGACAAAAAATGTCATAAAATTGGATTGGGTTATGTGGATCATTCAACTTGCAACTGTAATGACTTATGCCTGGAAATCCGGTCCCAATTGCGGCCATAAATTGAAGACTACTTGTATAATGAAACTACAATGATATACTCTTAGATATCAAGAAAAACATCTCAGGAAAGTAGAGATTATTTTAAAATTCTTTTATTCTACATTGATTAACAAAAAAAAAAGGCGCAAAAAGAAAAGAAACATGGATGCTTGCGGCTGAATTATAATTTACCCTATATTTTGTTTATTCAAGCTTTGGTAATATAAATGCAAAAAATACCAATTAATCAGTCTATCACTTGAAAAAGAAATGATTAATATTGGTAAAGTCTTTAATATATGATGGCCAAATATTGTTAAATTACAAAAAGTGAAGCTATAAATCATCCTCACCACTTGAAATAGCATGGATTAAAAACAAATTATTTTATGGAAAACAATTCACCTGAATAATCTCATTATATTCCTATGCTTCCTGGAAATGTAGTGTAGTACTTAAGGTACTAGACCTGAATGAGGGGAATTGAGGGAAAGACTCCATTCAACTGCAGCTCAACTCTTGCTTGAGCAGTAGACTCTATACCAGTGATGGCTAACCTTTTTGCCATCGCGTGCCAGGAGAGGGGGGGCGGGGGGAGAGTCGCGCATGCACGTGCCCACGCGCATGTGCACACAACCCCACCCACCCCCGCTCTTGGCACATGATGGCCTGGTAGGCCCATTTTTCTTTCTAACCTGATTCCAGATCCTCTCTGTGTATCTGGGAAGGTTGAAAACAACCTTTCCCACTTCCTTGGAGGCCCTACGGAGGCTGAAAGGGCCCATTTCCCAACTCTCGGTGGGGCAGGAAGTGATATTTTTTGCTGTCCCCAGCCTCCAGAACCTCTCTAGGAGTCTCTAGGAGCCTCTCTAGAAGTCTGTAGGAGGCTGGTAGGTAATGTTATTTATTTAGCAGTTAATCCTTGCTTTCTATTATGTTCAGTCCAACATAGAGCTATTTTGTAAAAGGCAATACCAAATGCCAGTAACCATTCTCTCAATAGTGTCCTTGACATGTTCTCAAATTCTAATGTATTCACTAGTCCATGAAAGCGCCGGAGAATTTTGTAGTGGTAAAAAAACAAACAAAACCCTATTTATGCAAAAATCACAGATCTAGACAACAGGAATCCCACACAAGAAAAATAAATATTTTGCTTCAAAATTATCCAGTTGTCAGCACAATCAAAGTAAGTTTTGGGAGAAACCTATTAATAATGTTTTCCATTTGTTTTCTGATATAATAAGGTCCCAGCGGCCACCCATTCCATTGCTTCATTTAGTTTAGCTAATGATATAGTTTGTCTGGGACACAGCAGGGCCCACAGAGGCATGCAAATCCTTCTCTCTCTCTCTCTCTCTTTCTCTCTCTCTCTCTCTCTCTCTCTCTCTCTCTCTCTCTCTCTCACACACACACACACACACACACAGTGGGGGAGAGAGGGGAGAGAGAGACAGATTAGTTTCCATCCATTGCTTCTTCTCCTGCCTTCAGGTGCTTTGGAGAACAGGTTAACCCCCTCTTTCTTGTTGTAGTCCCTCAACTATTGGAACACTGCTATCATGTCACCTCTAGTCCTTCTTTTCATTAAACTAGATATACTTAATCCCTGTAACCATTATTCAGGGCCTGCTTCTATTGTGATATTCAGTGCCTTTGAGGGCTCATCATAGGCAACATTTTGGTTCAATGCATTTATGCCATTTTAAAAACATGGCGCAAGTAGCGATTTCTGCAAGAAGAATGCCTATTGGAAAAGCTTGTCTCTGGAACCATGTCTCAGCAGTGAACCACTTAACTCTTGAAGCACAACATTGTCAAATTGTTGTTCTTCGAAAGAAGTTTAAAATTAAGATGGGTGGGGAGGCCTAAATGGTGCCAACTTTTAGCTTTCCAAAAATATTTCTGGGTCCCAAAGGGGTTTTGTTTGGAAGGAAATGATCATTTGCACTCCCCAAACACACAAATGTAAGGAGTCACATTTCTGTGAGATATAAATAATTAAAAATAAAATGAAAATGGCTTTCCCACTTCCCTTGTGCTATATTTTATTGAAAGAGGAAGATCTTTCCATCTTTTTCTTTTTCTTTTTGTCTTAAAGTGATGCCAATGTTTATTCTTCCATTTGCCTTTTCTCAGCATATCCACATGCATAAATAAATGTTTTCGGCTCAGGATTGCATTGGTTGGAAACATGTGGAAGAGGCCTTCATCCTGCAGTGGACAGACAATGGCTAAAATGATGATGATGATGATAATGACATGTTTCCAGTGGAATATGCAAGAGAAGCAGATGTGTGTGTCTGTGTATGCGTATCCCTCTCTATTGCATCAGGAATATACATAAAGTAGTGTTCTGTAGTGTTTTCATAAAAAATCCAGCCTGCTTAGCTGTGTAGCAAGCTGCCTTCTGCAATAAATAAGGGCATTCACCCCAATGAAGGGCATTCACTCTGTCTGGGGCTGGAGAGTTGAAGTCTGCTGTTATTAAATTTTCTTTATTTTTTCAGCAACCATCCTCCTTATTTATCTATTTAATTATCAAAGACTGAAGTTATCTATCTTATCTTATCTTAGTTATCTATTTAATTACCAAAGATTAATATGCAGAAGTCATGAGACAGAACTATTCATGGTAGTATTAAAGAAAATTTGGGAAGAGTCAGTGCTGTTTTTCCTTCGTTACCAAAACCTTATTTCACGCTTCAGAGATTTCAGTCTTCCTCTGCCCGGGAGTACCAGAATAAACATATTCCCTGAGCTCAAGCAATTGGTCTCTCTTTCCAAAATGGTAAGAATTTTTTTAAAAAGAAAAGGGGGTGGAGGAAGCAGCTTTATGCTATAAATTTGTCATTCTGTTTGTAGAACATATGTTTTTAGGAAGCTGCATCTTCGAATGTGTCATATCTGGATATTCCTGATAATTATGTTTACTTGGAAGGCATTCTCCTCATTTGTCATTCCTTCATTCAAATTTTGGTTCTTTGTATGAGTCAAGCTGTGGTAAATGACTACAGCAGATACTCTGCATGTTGAAGGTTCTCTGTTTCCTAACACCTCAAGGAAAAGTTGGGAAAAATTATTTGAAATACTAAAAAGTGTTCCTTGTCACTGGTTTCATTCATGTTATTGCAACCTCTCGTGGACAAATACTGGTAACCCTTGAGTTACAACAATTCATTTAGTGACAGTTAGAACTTACAATGACACTGAAAAAAAGGGACTTATGCAGGGGTGGGCTGCTGGGGGTTCAGAGGGTTTCAGGGGAACCTTTAGCTAAGATTCTGTGCAGTTTGGAGAACCCCCAAATTTCACTCTTGGCTAGCCCCACTCACCCCACCCCTCCCAGGAGTCCCCATGCGGCCCGTTTTGGATGAAGGTAAGTGCATGCAGAGGCTTGGGGAGGACGAAAAATGGGCCTACTGGAAGTTTGGGCCCTTTTCCAGCCTCTAGAGGGCCTCCGGAGCCTGGGGAGGCTGTTTTTGCCCTCCCGGAGGCTCGGATAAAGCCTCTGGAGGGCAGGGAGTGCAAAAATCCCCCCCTCACATAGTGCAGGAGGCCGACTAGGCCATGCCCACCATGACCATGCCCACCCAGCAACCGGGCAGAGAACCCCGTGCTAACATTTTTGAATCCCACCCTTGGACTTATGACCTTCAACCTTTGCAGCATCCCCATGGTCACATGATCAAAATTCAGCCACTTGGCCACTGACTCATGTGAGGGGTCATGTGATCACCTTTTGTGACTTTCTGATAAGCAAAGTCAATGCAGAAGTCAGATTCACTGAACAACTGTGTGACTCTTAACAACTGAAGTGATTCATTTAACAATTGGGGCAAGAAAGGTTGTAAAATGGAGCAAAAGTCTCTTAACAACTGTCTCACTTAGCAACATAAATTTTGGGCTCAATTGTGGTCATAAGTCAAGGACTCCCTGTATAGTAAAAATAGGTGCATTGACTAGCTAATTACCTGGAATAAACTGCCATGGTGTCAGAATTTTTCCCTTTTTTTTCCTTTTTAAAACGCAAATTTTAATTCGTTTTTAATTTATTGGGGTGTTTTAAATCTGTCTTCGGCCAAATTGTTTAATTCGGTTTTATTCTGTTTTTAAATTTTGTATTTATGTGTTTTTATCTTGTGGCTGTTCACTGCCCTGAGTCCTTCGGGAGGAGGGCAGTATATAAATCAAATAAACTAAACTAAACTAAACTAATTAGGCACTGCAATGATGTCAATTAGAATAGAATAGAGCTGGAAGAAACCTTGGAGGTCTTCTAGTCCAGCCTCCTGTTCAAACAGGAGAACCTATACCCGTGATGGCGAACCTATGGCACGCGTGCCAGAGGTGGCACGGAGAGCCCTCTCTGTGGGCACGCGTGCCATCGCCAGCTGCTCTTCCGGGTTCTGTCGCATGCATGCGCACCGGACAGCTGATCCAGCGTGCATGCACACTGCCCAGTTTTTTTCTGGGTTCTGGTGCTCCGGTGTGTGCACTCACTCCAGTTTTGGCACTCGGTGCCGAAAAGGTTAACCATCACTGACCTATACCATTTCAGACAAGTGACTGTCTAGCAGAGGTGGTATTCAGCAGGTTCTGTCCAGTTCTGGAGAACCAGTAGCGGAAATTTTGAGTAGTTTGGAGATCCGTAAATACCACCTCTGACTGGCCCTGCCCATCTATTCTCTGCCTCCCGAGTCCCAGCTGATTGGGAAGAAATGAGGATTTTGCATTTCCCCCTTGGAGTGGGGAGGGAATGGGAATTTTACAGTATCCTTCCCCTGCCATACCCACCAAGCCATGCCACACCCACCAAGCCATGGCCATATAACCAGTAGTAAAAAAATTTGAATCCCACCACTGCTGTCTAGTCTCCTCTTAAAAACCTCCAGTGATGGAGCACCCATGATTTCTGAAGGTAAGCTGTTCCCCTGGTTAATTGTCCTCACTATTAGGAAGTTTCTCCTTAATTCCAGGTTGCTTCTCTCTTTCATTGGTTTCCAACCATTGTTTCTTGTTTTGCCCTCTGGAGAATAATTTGACCCTGTCTTCTTTGTGGTAGCCCCTCAAATACTGGAATACTGCTATCATGTCGCTCCTAATTCTTCTTTTCTTTAGATTAGTCAGTCCCAAAACCTGCAGCCGTTCTTTATATGGTTAGGTCTCCAGGTCTTCGATCATCTTCGATGCTATTCTCTAAACTTTTTTCAAAGTCTCAACATCTTTTTTTGTAGTATGGTGACCAAAATTGGTTGCAGTATTTCAGGTGTGATCTTACTAATAAATTTGTAAAGCGGCACTAATTTGATTCTATGCCTCTATTTATACAACCCAGGATTGTATTAGTTTTTTTGGCTGCTGCTGCACACTGTTGGCTCATATTTAAGTGATCATCCAGTAGGACTCCAAGGTCCCTCTCATAGTTACTGTTTTTGAGCCAAGTCTCGCCTCATCTGTACTTATACTTTTGATTTTTCCTACCTAGGTGTAAAACCTTGCTTTCCTCCACATTAAAATTCATTTTGCTGGATAGGGCCCATTGTTCAAGTTCGTCAGCGTCTTTTTGGATCCCGAGTTCGTCTTCTAGGGTGTTGGCTATTCCTACCAGTTTAGCATCATCTGCAAATTATCATCAAATGTCATCAGACCAAGGAACATAATTAGGTATTTATGTCATGACATCATAGGCCACAACCATGCACACTTCAGCATTTGCATTGTGAAATCACCATGCCCGTATCATCTGCTCCCCTTTTCTCACTCACATTCAATATTGTGCGCCTAGTGCAGAACAATAACCCCAGTCTCATTGTTAGATGTTGCACCTCTTCTGCATCTCATTCTCATAAAGCACCATCCATACAGACTTCTTAATACTGGTATTTTTAAAAAAGCAATCCTGTTTATTTGTTTTCTCATAGGCCTTTGGCACCGTATGCCAGAAAGACACTTCATATGGGTTGCAATTAAAATAAGTACCAGGTAATGAGTACTATGTGAGCTAAATAAGTACAACAAAACAAAAAGCAGGTGAAGGACATTGTGTTTGTGATGCTAAGTCCTCTCATTTAATAGTCCACTTCTATTTTTTTTCCAGCCAGCTGTCTACTTGCATTATTCCCTCATGCGTGCCCTCAAGATAAATTATACAGCAAGACTCACAGAAGGCAATGCACAAGGAAATCCTTGGGAAATGTACTGTAGCTCCTCTTCTTAACAGAACTGGCGTTTATTGGTTGATTTACCAACAGGTTCTTGCCGTCAGTGGCATGAGTTTTCATTCTGAAAAGCACAAAGTAACTCAAGTGTAGTTTTTAGTGTGGTGCAGTAAATAATGATGTTCTCTCTTTTGAAATTCTTTCCTCTGCTTTTTTCCCCACACTTGTTTGTTATACATTACAGGAGACCATTCTGGATAATCCCACAGATCTGTATTTATCTTACCTATAGCATATTAAAAGGAAAGCTGGAAAAATCTAAGAATCTAAACACTATCTTACCAAGAAGGACATTGCAGAGCTAATTCACAGAAGGTTTTGAAAATTTTAACGTATATACATTAAACGTATGTGTAAGAGATGACTGGTATGTTCTGGTAGTAATACTGATTTTTAAAATTGGAAAATCAGACTAACTGTAGGATTAAAGCAGGGGTGAAATGGTCCCAGTTCGAACCGGATCGCCAATCCAGTAGCGATGGCGGCAGATGGTTCGGAGAACCGGTAGCAAAAATCCCTGCCCCCCCCCCATGCCCAGCTGAGCCGCACGATCATCAGAGGCTGGTTTTTTTTACTTTTAAAAGCATTTTTTCTACAAACTCTTCAGCCGAAAAAGTGCTTTTAAAAGTAAAAAAAAAAGCCTCTGATGATTGTGCAGCTCAGCTGGGATTGGCAGAAGCTTTTAAAAGCATTTTTTCTACAATCTCTTCCGTCAAAGAGGTTGTAGAAAAAATGCTTTTCAAAGTAAAAAAAAAAAAAAAAGTTGGCCACGCCCACCCAGTCACATTACCCCACCACCACCAAGCCATGCCCACAGAACCGCTGTGGGCATGTTATATTTCACCACTGGATTAAAGTATGTGATTACTTGGGAATTCAATGGATTCTTTGCATTCATTTTTCATTATATTACACTGAAAACGTGATTTCCTGGACCTTAGTGAAAAGGAACTTATATGTAAAAGGCCAAATTTCCTCTCACATGTATTTAATTGGTTAAAAGCCTATTCTTGACTTCACTTGGATTGGCTGGTTTAAAGGGTTAATGACAGGATCTCTCTCATATGAAAATACTCTATAGATAGTCCTCCATTTATGACCACAATTGATCCCAAAAATCCTGCTACTAGATGAGACATTTGTTAAATGCATTTTGCCTTGTTTTACAACCTTTCTTGACACAGTTGTTAAGTGAATCACTGCAGCTGTTAAGCTAGTAACATGATTGTTAAGTGCTTCTGGCTGTCCCATTAACATTGCTTGTCAGAAGGTTACCAAAGGTCAGGGGTGGGCAAATGTGGCTCTTTTACAACCTGTGGACTTCAACTCCTAGAATTCCTGAGACAGCCACTGTCTCAGGAATTCTGGGAGTTGAAGTCCACAGGTTGTAAAAGAGCCACATTTGCCCACCCCTGCCAAAGGTGATCAAATGTCCCCGGAACACTGCAACCGTCATAAACATGCATCAGTTGCCAAGCACTGAATTTTGATCACGTGACCATGGGGATGCTGCAGTGGTTGTAAAGTGTGAAAAGTGGTAATAGG